TACATCTTTGTTAAATTTCGCCATCACCTCACTTAAATAACTCAATGAAGTATTGAACGGTCAAACACTGTCATGACCTGCTCGTTCGATCCTCGTGTGTGCCACGCCCCCTCATTACCTATGTGTACTACCCCGATTGTGATCACCTGTTTCCTGTTATTTTCAGCTTGTCTTGTGTATTTAGTCTGCGTCTGAGTCAGTATTCCCCAGATCTGTCATTGATGTTCGTCTCTCATTGTCCTGTGGATCTCTCAATAAACCCCGTTTGCCCGTATTACCGGCTCGACTCGCCTGATTCTCTGCTCGCCCGCATGGGACACAACAAACATGGTGGGCTAGTGGTCTATTCAAGAAATACATGGATGTATTGGAATGGTTTCGGCAGATACTGGGGTGACTTTAGGAGAGCTTTTGAAATGGCTAAGCTGACATACTTTGACAGATATAAATTTTTCACCAACATGGTAATTTAAATATAATTTTTTTTGATTGCATAAGATGATTGAACATGCTGTATATTACTCAACTGCAGATGACATCTATTAGTTAACTTACATGGATTTCATTAGTCTGACAACCTTCAGCTATAGTAAAGGTACCTGTTATGTCTGGTCTTTGCAGTCTTTGAGGCCTCTCTGCTCCTAACAAATGGCCTCCAGTAGCACCTAGTCTGCATGTCATATGGCAAGTAAGTACAGGCCGCAAGCCAAAACAGAGCTTCCAGAACAGTACAGACCCATGTCTCAAACTCACCGTGTTTCTTTCTATCTTTGGCCCCAGCCTAAGTGCTGGTCCCCGGGGCAGGTGATTGGTGACTCCCAGCTGACTTCTCAGGCACTCCAATAGGGCTTTTATTTAGAGGCAGGCTGCTGCTAATGAAAGCCAGCTTCACTTGAGTGTGTTTGGTGAGAGTCGGGGAGAGCTCACCCCAGGGGAGGGGCTGTAGAACTAAACACAAAGCCTTGGCAAGCAAAGGAGCACAGATGTGTGCTATGCATGGATCATGAAAAGGGCCACGCACAAATTTACATAGTTTACATATCAAGCGCTTGTGTTGTTTGTAGCCATATTTTGTGTTGTTTTTTTCCCTTTGCATGGTTTACATTTGGAGATTAGACAGAATTAATATGGCCCTAAGGAGAAGGCTGACATTGAAGGATATTTCGTTTTGTTAAAGAGTCATCGATTCCTCTTTCTGTCTGTCGCTTCTTTTGGGTTGGCATTCTAACACAATAATCATTGTCCATTAGTCAATATTACTTTTGCCAAACACTAAAATGTCAAATATCATATTTACAAATTGTGAATGGAATCTTGCATCCTGCTTTCATTAGCCTTCATATAAGCTGACAAATTTTTCAGTAGTTATCTTATCAGCGTAATTAGTCATAAGAACAAACATACAAACACAAACTAAGTAACTAACTAACTTGGGAGTGGTTCAACAGGTTAGGGCCTGTGACTTGCTGGTTCAAATTCTGCCCTTGTCACGATAATGCTACCTTTGAATCTTTGAACAAGGCCCTTAACCCCACTTGTTCACCAAGGACTGGTTGGCCCTGCTATCTGAATTGTGTGTATTAGTATTAGTATTAGTGTCTGTCTTGTTATAAAGGTCTGTGACATTGTGAAACTGCTAGATTACCAAGCCAAAGCACTGTTGGTTTTGTTAACTCATCCTTAGTTGTGCTGTTCTGCTATCATCGTCATGTAATGTAAAGATAAATCAAATCACAAAAATGTATGTTATTAACAGAAACATAATCCAAAAAAGCTATATCACAATATATAATTAGTGTTTTGATGATGTCTGCCCTCCTGCAGAAAACAAAATCCTTCGTCAGTTTAGTGAACAGAAGATCTCTGACTAGAGCCACTTGAAGTCACTTCCGATGTGGGAGAATAAAGGGAGTCATCTGGCACCACCATCCCCCCCCCCCCAACCATACGAAAGAATTGCAGCTGAGGATTAGTGCAGGGTTAGTCTATTCCACAGACTCTGTGATACTGGTAACGGTGTCAGAGAGTGATGTGCATCTGTGCACCAGTGACATGGACTCAAAATTGGAGCAGGCCAGTTTGGCTATTAAGATGAGGGCAGTAAATTCAAACCTTAATCGATTTCAAAAACAATAGTCTAAGCAGTCCATCAATGTTGATGGCATAGAGAATTATTTGAGACTGATCTGATTGGCTGGCGTTTTTGTTTGTAGAATTGTTTTTACTGGTTTTTTTTTTGGCTTAAACTACTATGAAAAATCTAGTCTGTAGTGGAACATATGTGCATGATCTTCTATAGTGCTTCTATCCTAAATGGAGAAGTCTGCAGTGTAACATCTACAATTTAGTGTCCAGAAGAAGAATCTGTCATACACATTCCATCAGATTAGCATATAATTCTGTTACTTGTTCAGCAAAGCCCCATTTGTTCTCTTTAAGTGATTCACTGTTTTCCGCATGGCTCAGAATCTTCACGCACAGACATAACAGAGGGATAACCCCAAAGGTGACCTTGTGAACCTTGGTCTCCAGGCATCCCGAGGACCTTGGTGACCAAGCACCATCATCTCTACAGGACATCAGGAAAAAGAGCAGCTCAAAAGTCCATCTGCACACAGTCCTGTTTCTTTTCCTCTATTCTCATCGCCCCTTTGTTGTTTTAACTGGAATATCACATATAGCATAGTATATTCGAAAGAAGGGGTGTAATCTAAACCATACTAGAATGGATTTTGATCCAACTATTTTTTTCTGATAATGCTTTACCAGCTATATGATTCAGACCTATAAATGCATTGGAATTCTTATTTTAACTATAAGCATCAATATGAAAGTATCAAGATAACACTGTGACCATATCAAGTCAAGTCAAGTCAAGAGATTTATTTGTCACATACATACAACATGCAGTGAAATGTATCTCTGTGTTACCCTTATGTGGCTGTGTAAAAATAGAAAGAAATAAAAATAGAAAAAGGTAAGAAGTAAAGTCGGAGTAAAAAAGAGAAATTACAATATATAGATACTAAGTAAGGAACCAAGTATATAATCTAAAATATACAGTGCAGATATAAAATCTAAAATCACAAATCAAAAAATATAGTGCAAAACTGAAAAATATGAAATGTAGTGCAAAATTGCAGACTTTGTGCATTCAGTGCTAGTTCACTTTGAGAAGCCTAATGGCCTGGGGGAAAAAGCTCTTTCTGAGTCTCTCAGTCCTGGACATCAGGCAACGGAACCGTCTACCTGAATTCAGCCTGCGGAACAGGCAGTTTGCGGGGTGTAAGGAGTCCTTGATTATCTTTGTACTTCTGGACCTGCAGCGTTTATTGTAGGTATCCAGCAGGGAGGGCAGAGGAGATCTGACACAACGCTCGGCCGCCCTGATCACCCTCTGCAGGTCTTTGCAGTCCTTTTGAGAACAGTTCCCAAACCATACTGTGATGTTCATGGTCAGAATGCTCTCCACAACAGCTGAGTAGAAGGTTTTTAGGATCGCTGGAGTGACCCTAAATCTCCTCAGCTGCCTCAGGTGGTATAACCACTTCCTTGCTCTGGTGACCAGAGTGCTGACATGCGAGTGCCAAGTGAGGTCCTCAGTGAGCAGAACCCCAAGGTACTTGATTTTATCAACCCTCTCCACTGGGTTGATTTGGAGGAGTGAGAAGGAGCTTGCCCTGGTTTTCACAGGAATAGTCCTGAAAATATGATGCTTTGACATTCTTATACCTTTGCTTTTTACCCATAAGGTTCCGTTGCACCCATATCTTAAATTTGCACTATTTATGCGGATTTCCAGTGTGGATGCCACAGTACTGTGGCCCATCTGCTGGGCAGGGGAGCAACTCCAAGCTCTTAGAAGGTGATCCAGAGGTTGGAAACCTCAGGAGGAAACAGGCTCTTTTGTGATGGTTGATTGCATAAGTACTGTACTGGAAATATACAAGTTTTTTAAAGTTGATGGATCATTTGCGTTCCTAATTAATTTTGAGTAAAGGGCTGCTGGATATAATACTAAAAATAGCTCACTTTAATACATAAAAAAATACTGCACCAACGCAAGAAAAAGTTTTTGAACATATTGGTTGTATGATTCTTGCAACAACTTTGAATAAATCTGAACTTTTATTAAGTATACGAGTGGCTACAGATAAGCAGGGAAATTTCATTTGAAATCCCAAAGTCAAAGAATGCATCATTTGTGTTTGCCCAACTATTGAGTATTCAGCCGCAGTATACAGTCTACCACATAATTTGCTGTCTAGTTTTATTGTAATTGAACCTCGTTATATATCACTGAGCTTTTAAAATTATATATTAATTTTTACTCAACTACTTTAGGTGAACCCATAAAGTCGCATTTCACACTTAGCTGAATGTCACTTGTCAATATATTTGATAATATATAAATATTGACAGTATGAATTAATTACAATCCAAGCTATTTGTTGTGACTCTGTTACTCTGTTAAACGCTAAATAAGCTACAAATACAAGGAATTCAATAAGGTGCTCTGGCCCTTTTTCCTAGTTTTTTTTGCTGTTATTTTAGATACAAAAATATGTAAAAATAATATAACAGGATAGTCAGACTCCATATCCATTCATCTCTAAATATCACCCTATTAGACATTGTGGATTATTGGTTATTAAAAATCACCTTAGTCTTCAAATGAAAGAAAACTACAATGAAGGTTCACATATACTTATGTTCATCTTTCCCATCTAAAACAAGGGGATATAAGAAAACAACAGTGCCATGGTGTAATGTGCCTAGGAGTGCTGGGCAGGGTGGGACCCAAACCCTTTTAATTACAGATATATGAAAACCATATGCCAGCATTCATTAAACCAACAATATACCTTCACTCAGTTACACAGACGGTTCCATATCCACTCCCCCCCCCCCCCCCACCCCGGCCGGCTCCATCTGGCCGCTGCTGTGCCCCGGACCCCCCCCCCTGCAAAAACAGTCTTGTGTTCCCTCCCATGCCTCCTCCCTTTTCTCTCACTCAGTTGTCCAGGAGTAAGCTGCAAGTTGTTACCCCAACTGAGAGCTCAGAGAGCAGGCGAGAGATCAGAGGGGAGGGAGTCAGACGGCAAATGGGAGCAACGGGTCTGAGGAACCGAGTAAAACTGGAGTTAGACTGAGTAAGAGGGCAGAATCGAGTGTGAGGTGCTCATTGCCTGGGGGCTCTGCTTTCTGTGTAAAATGCTGTGTGATACTCTGTCAGGCAGTGTGCTGTTGGTGTTCTCTGCGCTCTGGGCTGCCTGTGCCTTAGGCCAGCGCCTGCGAGAGCAGGACGTCCTCTGCAATGAGCACGGCTGCTATGTGCTTTACTATCAGTCCAAGACTTTCTTGGAATCATGGAGGAGCTGCAGGCAGAAGAATGGAAGTCTGGCTACGCTGACCCACCCGGAGGAGGCGGCAGAGGTACGGAAGCTCTTTTCAGGTGTGCAGCTGTATGAGAGGCATGCCCGCGTGCGAGTGTGGATCGGTCTGCAGAGGCAGCCGCGCCAGTGCTCCAGCACCCACCCGCTCCGAGGATTCACTTGGACCACCGGTGACCAGGACACCAAGTACACCAACTGGCTGCAGGGGGACGCACCTGAAAGGTGTTCCTCGCCACGCTGTGTACACATGAGCTACAGCACTGCCCCTAGCGAGAGCTACAGGAACTTCAAATGGGAAGACACCACATGCTCACATCCTGTGGATGCGTTCCTGTGCCACTATGCCTACAAGGGGATGTGCCCACTCATCCAGGCTGAGGGTGGGGGTCCTGTACGGTACTCCACCCCCTTTGACTTTCTCAGCACACAGATCACTCACGTGCCTTTAGGCTCCCTGGCCACCATTCCCTGTCCGGGCAGCACTGTGCCAGACCAGACAGCTTTTTGTATCCTGAGGAATTATGAGAAAGTGATCTGGTCCAAAAACAGCTCTTTTTGTTCCGAGGAATTACCGGACTTGTGCCAGCGAGACAATGGAGGATGCCAACACACCTGTAGGATGGCAGGCACCCAATATTACTGTGAGTGTGACAGTGGTTACATTTTAGAAGATGATGGGCTCACATGCTCTCCAGGTAATGATTGCCAGTATGTGCAATGTGATTTTAAATGTGTACCCAGCTCTGAAGGGTACCTATGCACGTGTATGGAGGGATACCTGCTGGCATCGGACAACCACAGCTGTGTGGATGAAGATGAATGCCTGCAGAGCCCCTGTCCCCAGCTCTGTGTCAACACTCCAGGCTCCTTCCAGTGTCATTGCCTTGAAGGCTATCAGTTTGATGAGACCGGCGATTGTGTAGACGTGGACGAGTGCCTGGATAACCTCTGTGAGTACGCCTGTCAGAATACCGCCGGCTCCTATATCTGCCACTGTGAGCCTGGCTTCTCTCCTGTGCCTGAGGATCTCAGCCGCTGCCAGGACACCGACGAGTGTCAGATACCGGGCACCTGCCAGCAGATGTGTGTAAATTACGAGGGTGGCTTCGAGTGCCATTGTGAGGAAGGGCAAGCTTTGCAATTGGACAACTACTCCTGTAAGCCCATCCCAGAGACTGAGGAGCTCTCCAGTACCACGGCCTCTTATCTGCCATGGGACGCCAGCCTATCACAGATTCCAGACTTCATTTGGCCACAGTGGCCAGAGAAGGACTGGCAGACCGAACCTCCAGCTTTGGCCTGGTGGACAGATCAACCCAAGCTGCCGGCTCCCAACCCGAAGGAGCTGACTGAGATCCTACAAGATGAAAAAACCAGCAGGCCAAATGATGACACCCCAAGCTGGGATGAATCTGATAGTGGGGATCGGACGCCATACCCTCTAACATCTTCTCCAGTTGGCCCATCCTTCCCCTACTGGTTTCAGACTGAAATCACAGACAACCCTTTGACTTCCTTCTCTAACTTCATAACGTCTCCCAATGCAGAGAAAAGCGACGTACCACGAGGAACCAAATTACACAACGGAGACAATGACAGGCCTGAGACAGCAAACTCAGACTGGCAGACAGCTTTGCCACCAGCCTCCACTCTCAGTCTTATCTTCCCTACCACACATACTGAGGAGTTTACAAAAAGGAATAACACACAACATAAAGACAACACCTGGTTGCTTGTGGCATTGCTAGTGCCCCTCCTCATCATTGTGCTGGCATTGGTGGTACTGGGCATTGTGTATGGTACCCGATGCGGCATCAGGCCACGCAATAAAACTACATCTGACTGTTACTATTGGATCAGTGGCTCTGGAGACAAAGTGGACCCTCCTAAGTCCCAGATTTAAGCTGGTGGTCAAGGAAGGAGTCAGTGATAATAGAAGAGTAAAGGAATTTTAAAGGGGGTAAGTATTTTTTTTAACAAAAAGGGCCAGGGGTTCATGTGGAGAGCACAGGACTGCGGCCTCAGGTCCTGCCAGGGACCTAAGTGTAGAATACCCTTGGAGAAAGGGGGACTTTCTCTCCAAACCAGTGACAATTTACCTTCTTGAAAGGACTTGAGAACATGTTTGCAATGCTCCAAGCCAAATTTCATCGGTATACTTAAAATCTTTAATTGTTATGTGCAAACGGACCTTGCTAAAATTCCAAAGAAAGCCATGGGTGGAAAGAGTAAGAATGAGATCTGATGAATAGTGTGCGAAAATCTTTGAGGCTGACTTGTGAAATTACAAATCTTAATATAGTGCTAAGTAAGCCTCCCCTACATGTTCTTTGCTAGCTGTAAAAGGTGTTAATGATTACATATTAGTTACAATGATAATCACAAGTGCATAGAACTTGATGAATCTGGATGAGTTTCTTAGACGTGTATTTTTTGCAGCATGTCTTGTAATTCCTTCATGTAATTGTCTTCAATGCTGTGGTTTTACTACTGATTTGTGGATGCTAAGCTTGGTCTTTTAGGAATAGTCATCTCCTCATATGAAATAAGAAAATAAAAAATAGTGAGACTCAGAGAAGCTACAAGATTCATGGCAACACATCACACCAACTTCATCACTTTTGGTGGATTGGAAGAATTTTCAGCACTTGAATCTGCAGGTTGGCAGGGATTCTGAGAAATCTCTACAAATTCCCTGCATTCCACCAATCTCGGAATGATTCCTGCAAGCTCCAGGAGGACAGTTCCCCTACATCTGCTGTTGCCATGGCCTGCAGCGCCCCCTGGGAAGTTTCAGAGGCATAGATGTAAACCCAGTTAATTCTTGGTTTGGAAGTGTCTCAGAGGGTTGAAATCAAATATTCACTAGGACTTAAGTCTGTGTGCTTTTCACTTTCAAAACATGCTAAGTTCCCATCTACTGTCTACTGGAAATTACCCAGGCAAATGGATGTAAATAATGTGTTACATATTTGACACAAATAACATGTTTCTATTCACCTTAAAGTCAGCACAGTCTTAAGCGATAAATGTTTTTCAACTTATAATCAGTTTGTCTAGAAATCGTAAGACTACAAAGAACTAGACAGAGAAGCAAAATGTAATATGATAGAAATGCAATATATTGTACAGTGGATTTTTAGTGTATGCTATTTTTCTCTCCCATTCAATCTCAGAAGGAGGCATCTGGATAAAAATGAAATAAAATAAACAACAATTTTTCTATTAGACATGAGGACATGAGAGTCAACTTTAAAAGCCTGTCACAAAACAAAGCTCATTTTATCTTGTAATTTTTTTCCACAACCAACAATAAATGGCAGTAAACTTTCTGAAAACTATGCATGTATATATTACAGAGCATTAATGGGAGATTTGCTTGTTTTCAGACACGTAATGCATTGTTTTGCCGCCCTGATGCTGCTGATCCTTTTTCATTTCTTTTTTATCATCCTGTGTAGGAGGGTCATGCTGGCTCAGTGATCATTACTGATGCCTCACGCCTACAGGGCTGAGGGACACAATGGAGTTTTCCATGTTGTGGGTACTGTGGGTTCCTCTCACAATCCAGAGACATGAAGACAAATTAGTTGCCATCATCGTATTGCCCATAGTGTGTGTGTGTGTGTGTGTGTGTGTGTGTGTGTGTGTATAAATGCCCTGTGATGGACTGGTATCCCACCCAGGGTGTACCCTAGCCTTGTGCCCTATGATGCCTTTGACAAGGACCCTATCCTTATAAGGCTAATCCATCAAAAGAGATGTCTTTTAGGTTTGATAAAGGCTCAGTGAATATTTCACTAAATTTCACAGAATGCCACAATGCACAATACATAAAAGCATGTACTTAAAATGCCTATTACTTTATAGATGGCCATTTGGTAGGCTTGATGTTTTGTTCATGATAAATCTGTTTGAGTGAAATCAGCACAAAGCTCACTCTTAATGCAAAATGGATGAATGGAAGTAGTATGATAAAAAGCACTAATTCTCACCTGCAGTTGCAATCGATACAGGGCCCCCCACATATGTTTCTGTTGCAACATTGATAAATACACATACTGGCTTGAAATCAAACGATGGAAAATGAGAATTCTGGGTGCTGTGGGATTTCTGAGTGTTAAGAATGACATGTCTTTACAGGATATTTTAATGTTAGAGGATGGATGTCAATGTGTTGTTATTTTTAAAATGACACTTCACAATAATAATAATAATAATATTTTTTATGTTTGATGGGGGATATTACATAAATCATTATAACGGACAAAAGGAAGGACAGAAAAAGCAAAGACATTAATTTTTCAGAATAAAATGAGATGAACCCCTGCTAAGGATGACACTGTTGTTAGGGGTTTGAATTCAACCCAGCTCTGAATTTGTAAAGTTGGGGGACTGAATCCCACCCCAGGCCTGTATTTGTGATGTTTGGGGGTTTGGATTCCACCCCACCTCTAAATTTGTGGGGTTTGGGGGTTTGAATCCCACCCCAGCTGTATATTTGTGGGGTTTGGAGTTTTGGCTAAGCCCCGAACAACAAGACTGAGTCCAGAGCTGCATGAATTAACCCCAAGTAACAAGACTGAACACCAAGCCTGGGATTTTACCCAAGTCCCCAGTGTTACAGGTGTAGTAACACATATTCCACTACACTAAGAGCTCAAGTTTTGCTTCACCACAAACTCTCATGGACATTTGCTTCACTACAAACTCCAATGGACATTTGCTTCACTACAAACTCTCATGGACATTTGCTTCACTACAAACTCACATGGACTTTTGCTTCACTACAAACTCTCATAGACTTTTGCTTCACTACAAACTCTCATGGACTGCTCTTTGGGCAGGCATGATATTAGCCCTTCCTAGTAGTAGCTTCCATCTTGTCACTTTATAATAGTGGTCATTCTCTAAAAGTATCAAAGAGGTCTATCTGGTGCCAGTGTTGATGTTAATCTCTGAACAGTTTCCTCATTCTCAACAACTCTGAGAGTACTAGAGCTGGACTATTGGTCACTTCACTCATTTTTTTTTTAGGTTTAGCTGGATCACAGTCCTAAAGTAAGTGGGTACACCATGCCAGCTGCCTTCAGTGTTTGCAGTTATGGCCACTCATCTCACATATAGTCTTCTCAAAAAACCGACATGGCAGTGAAAAACGGAAAAGCACAAATGAAATTAGAACCACTCTGGGTGGCCCAGCTGCCAGCATTTTGTTGTTCAGCTCTGAAACAGAGATGATATTGTCTCTATAAAGAAAATATGAGTGAAATATGGCAGTGACTTTGGCCTTGACTTGCCTGCTACTTTAAAACCAGTTCACCTGACCACCTTAGAAATGTGAGATGTGAGGTAAATCACAACAGTATCATTTACATTTTACATCTCAATATAATTTAAACAACTGTTCCATTGGAGCCTAACATCATGACTGATCCTAAATAAAGACTATATGCCTTTTTGGAATCCGGAAAATGAGTCAACCTCTAAATCACCTTCTGGTCTTACTACATTTTGGGGCAACACCTAACTAATTTAGTTTTTTTTTTCTCTGAAAAGAGATGCATTAACATCATGAATATATGTAACTTTATTAAGCACAGATTTTACTGTGCATTACTGTGACAGTAATTCACCAAAACCACAAACTTTCGGACCACAAAGGAATGGGACCTTCAGGAACAATGGAAGAAAATGTCATTCTGCCCCCATGCAGAGCAGGCAAGCAGGAATAGAATCCACAACCTAAAGGTCAGAGGTAACAGTGCCGACCACCAAGCCAGTATGATGCCTAGGAAGCTTTCAGGAAGTTAATGTCTTCAAATAGGTTTTTCATCAAAAAAACACAACATTAAGATTTGAAGGTCATATATGCAAAATGGATGCTTGGCTTATGTATGAACTGTTTCAAGTGGGAATACAGTGGTCATTACATTGGGTCATATGTACACAGCGTTTTGCACCAGCCTGTTTACATAATGAATAAGATATTTCATCAAGTACTATGCAACTACAATTGCAAAAATAATAAAAGAATAAAATAAATACAAAATAAAATAATCTCATAACACGGTGTTCGGTGTTCCTTATTGAATTTTGGCCACTGATCATGAAAATCACATCCAAATTTGCCTATCACATACCGTTCGGTCGAAATCTTGTCACGTTTTTTTCTTATATTTGTGCCCAAAAATTTTTGTTTCTGCAAGAGACCTATCAACAATGTTTTGTACAGTCTGGGAATGTCCAGGCCTGGTATCAGGCCAAGTTGGTAACTGATCTATGAAAGTTCGCAGCCCAGGCATGCCTGGGTAGGCCGGAGCCAGCTTGACACTGCCTCAGCAGGCTATAAAAGTGTTCAGTGGGTTAATATAGATCTGATCATGTGTATGTATTATTTCAGAATATAGCAGTGCCTCAGTAGCAATGTAACAAGTAAGCTAGATGCTATAGATGTTTGCAGGATGATTGGTATTGGTCGATATGTCTCATCAATGTCGGAACAGCCGTGATACATTCTGCTATATTTGTGGTGAATATACGCTTGCGCCTCAGAGATGCTCAATGACTGCTCTTGTGAAGAAAGCATATCATCTGTACTTCAGCTGTAAAATCGGTGATCAAGACAAGGAATGGGCACCTCACATTTGTTGTGTGACATGTGCTGTCTGTCTGAGAGCTTGGCTCAGAGGCACTTGAAAGACAATACAGTTTGCTTTCCCGATGATATGGCGAGAACAGAAAGACCATGTGATGGACTGTTACTTATGTTTGATGAATGGGTCTGGTTTCTCTGCCAAAAACAAGAAGTCAACTGAATACCCTAATCTGCCTTAAGAACATAAGAACATAAGAACATAAGAACTATACAAACGAGAGGAGGCCATTCGGCCCATCGAGCTTGCTTGGGGAGAACTTAACTAATAGCTCAGAGTTGTTAAAATCTTATCTAGCTCTGATTTAAAGGAACCCAAGGATTCAGCTTGCACTACGTTATCAGGAAAGAAAGTGTAAAGAAGTGCTTCCTTAAATCCAGTTTGAAATGTTCTCCCGC